TGTGGTTCTCGTCCCAGCGTCACGCTACATACTTCCAATGGTTATAGGGATGGATGGAGGGCCGTTTTCAAAATCTCAGTCTCGTCCGAGTGCACCGCACACTCGCCCCGCCATACAACAGAAAACAGCTCCAATGATGGAGGGCGGGTCGTATTCAACATATGGCCATCTCCTCGGGACCAGGCAAGATTCACCTTAGATGCGACCCACGGTTGCGAGGACAGAAGGTGGTTCCTTTCAAAATAGGCTTGTCGCCCTCGCGCTGCACACATTACTCGTCAGTATTTCCAACAGCTTCAACTTCAGGATGGATGGCGGCTCCTTTTCAAGATGGGGCTCTCGCTTGAGACCGCCTCAAGGCATACAACCAGAAGTGCCCAAGTTGACACGATTGCAAGAATGGGGATGGAGGGTGGTTCTTTGTCAAAGTTGTTTTCTCGCGTGAAGCGTGGTCTAAACTTTAACGGCCACGAGTGCAGCAGAGCACAGCCGAACAGCTACACGGATGGATGGCGGCTCCTTCTCAACATGGGGTTCCCGTTGGACATTTCCAGAGTGTCCCTACATCTCCGTCGCCCTCATAGGCAGAAGGACGCAGTGAACTCACGAGTCTCTCGCCAAACTGGCAGGCCAACGGGCCGCTCCTCTTTCAAGGGGTAGTCGCAGGGACATGCCTCCCCATGCCCCCTCCCTCCCTCCTCGCCGTCTCGCCTTCCACCTCCTGCCTCTGTGATCTGCAGCGCGGATAGCCACTTGCCGTCGGACCCCTTGCCATTCGGACCCTGACGTCTCGTGCAAATTCGAGTGATGCCATGGCCACCACCACCATCATCATCAGCATCATCATCAGCATAATCATCAGCATCATCAGCACCATCATCATCAGCAGCATCATCATCAGCATCATCATCATCGCCTCGTCATCATCATCAGCCGCATCATCCCCATCATCAGCATCATCATCATTATTGGTTCAGTCACGCTCGCATTAGCATGAGCATCGTACATCGTGACTTCCACCACGAATGCACAGGATCGCAGAGCACATGTTTCGTAGTGCAAAGCGTAGATGACGACGTTGCGCAGGGCAGAGCTGCGCATCTTTTTAGCGTTGCCCAGATACGTAGCACAGCACATCAGAGCATCTTTCCAACCTGCCCGCCCATCTGGCGTGCCTAAACTGTCGGCCCTTTCCTTGCGAAGAGGAAGCGCTCTGCCAGCACCCACTCGGCAAGTTCTTTGCGACCTGGGCGCCGACTTTGGACTCCCAGTCCCTCGCCCGCGGCCTCGAACAAACCACGAGATGACCCCCATGAACCCGCAGGATCGCTTGGAGATCGGTGGCCCTGATATCCTGACACAGCGCTTACAATTTCAAGATTTCGGGGATCATTGAGGCCCCGAGGGCACTCCTCGAGTGCCCACGGCACGGCAGCGGCTGTGCAGCACATTGGATTCCACAACAGATGTGAAGATCAATTTGGAAGTACTGTCGTCATCCGATTCCCTCATAACTCTGAGATGATCAGCAGACCCGTCCATGTTTTGCACAGCTACGCGGCCGATGAGGTGTCGACTACTGCAGCGGAGGTGTCGTCAGGTCCGTCAACACGGCCCTTCTGCAGAAGCGTCTGGACGAGGAGGACATCGTCATGCTCAACGCCATCGGGACGAGCCCAACCGGGGAATCGCGCGGGCCTCGGCATCTCACTCCCCCCTTCGGGATCGGGGCCCAGGACCGCCAGGGGCGCAACGTGCGCCTGGTGGCCAGGCGGCCGCGGTGTGCTCATTCGTGGCCCCCAGAGCTGTCAGACGGTCGACCCAGCGACCCTGCTCTGGGACCGAGTTTCACTGACACAGCTCGGGAGGCCGAGTTCCAGGAGAAACCTCCAGGATAGAGCACATCATGGCTCAGCCCTTCATTCCGGATCGTGCCTCTCCTTCCTCGTCATGCTGCTCTTCCCTCTTGCTCAGCTTGCTTCTGCTCCTCCCCGTCCTTCTCCCATTTCCCCTTCTTCTTCTGCCTCCTCCAGTTCCCGGTCGTCCTCCCCCTCCCCCATCGAATCGCTTCGCCTCATCCCCTTTGCTCTAGTTCGCGCTGCGCCAGCATTGTTCGACAGGGACCGCCGCGTCAAACCACTTGCTCCTCCTCCTGCTCCTCCTCCTCATCCTCCCCCTTCTCCTCCCTCCTGCACCCTCCCTCCTCGTTCCCCTTGCTATCATGCTCAAAGATGTTTCCTGTTTCCCCATGCTCCTGCTCATTCCCCCGTTTCCACCTTCCAACACCCTCCCATGCTGTTCCTGGCTCCCGTCCGTGATCCTCTTTGTAATGTTGCCACTACTCCTCCTCCTGTTGTACCTCCTTCCTTTCTCTATCTTTCTTTACCCCCCGCAACGCCGCGGGTTTGTGTATGGTCCGTTGGTCAGAAGAGCGCGCCTTCTCCGCTACTGTCAGACCAAAGTATAAGATCGAGGCCAGTCCTGGAAAAGTACCCGAATGTTCTTTGTGCTTGTTGGATACTCGTGTGCGCCCTGGGGAGAGAGTGCCCTCAAATGTTCAGGCGAGCGCGCCTCCCCCGCTACCCCGACACTGATAAAACCTTCCATGCGCGGGCCCCTCAGGAGGCGGAGGAGGACGAGGGGAAGGAGAACGTGAAGGAGAGGGAGAAGGAGGAGAGAGAAGGAAATGGAGAAGAAGAAGGAGGAAAGAGAAGGAGATGGAGGAGGAAGAGGAGGAGGAGGAGGAAGAGGAGGAGAAGGAGAAGGAGAAGGTCTCCCCCCCGGGAAGGGGCCCTTCGACCACTCGACACTCCCTCGCCCCGCGGGGGCCTTCTCGCGGGGGCCTTCTCTTGGTGCACCTGTGCCGTCGGGGGGCTGCGGGAGGCACGAGCGGCTCTTCTCCAGCACTGGCGCGTCGAAGGCAGCGCCCGCGGCCACTGCTCGAAGAAGAAACAACGCCATAGACATGAACTTTTGGCGCTCCGCGCGGACTTCTTGGATCCGCGCTGGGCCCCCCTGCGGCGGCCTCTGGCGCGCTCCGCGCGCCAGGGAGGGGGGTACAGCGCAGATCCAAGAAACCCGCGCGGAGCGCCAAAAGTTTATGTTTATAGCGTTTTCTCTTCTTCCAACCACCTGGTAGACCCTTTTAATTCCGCCCGTAGCGTCGATTAGCGTCGATCAGCGTCTGGAGTCGATAAAATAGCGCCGGCTAGCGTCGATTAGCGTCGGACCGTCCCGCCCGCCCGAGCGGTGCCCCCAGCGGTTGTGATACATGTTCCCCCCCATCTTGTCACATTACAGAGTGAAGGTTGCATATAACGTCCCACCCGCCCGCCCGACTCAACGCTCCATCACGGAGTGGATTCTATTTACCGTCCCGCCCGCCCGAACGGCGTCCCCAGTGGTTGCGACACATCTTCCCCTCATCTTGTCCCATGGTTGCATTTCATGTCCCGCCCGCCCGCCAGACTGAACGCCCCATCATTGCATGAATCGTATATTTGCTGTCCCGCCCGCCCAAACGGCGCCCCCGGTGGTTGCGACATTTCCCCCCATTGTGTCACATCACAGAGTGAAGGTGCATTTCGTGTCCCGCCCCCCCGCCCCACTGTGCGCTCCATCACTGAGTGAATCGTAAATTTACCGTCCCGCCCGCCCCAACGGCGTCCCCGGTGGTTGCGACATGTGTTCCCCCCATCTTGCCCCATGGTTGCATTTTATGTCCAGGCAGCCCGCCCGACTGAACGCTCCATCACTAAGTGAACATTCTACTTACCGTCCAGCCCTCCTGAACGGCGTCCCCGGTAGTTGCGATATGGTTTAACCCAGCGTTGTCCCGTGACCGGGTGACCGTTGCAGCATTCAATGTCCCAAACGACGCCATCGCAGTCGCCGTCGCAATTTGTCGCAGGGGCAAAACAAGCCGGAGGAGGAGGAGGAGGAGCAGCAGTAGAACGAGGAGGCTTTTGGAGAGCAGGAGGAAGAGGAGGAGGAGGAGGAGGAGGAGGAGGAGGAGGAGGAGAGGATGAACAGGAGGAGGGGGAGACGCAGGACGAGGAGGAGGAGGAGGTGGAGAGGAGAAGGAGGAAAAGCAGGAGGAGAAGCTGGAGGAGGAGGAGGAGGAGAAGGAGGAGGAGGAGGAGAGGAGGAGGCGGAGGAGAAGGAGAAGGATGATGATGTTGCTGCTGCTGCTGATGATGATGGTGATGATGAGCATGATGATGATGATGGTGATGATGATGATGATGATGATGATGATGGTGATGATGATGATGATGATGACGTTGGTGATGCTGATGATGATGATGACGATGATGATGATGATGATGATGCTGATGATGATGATTATGATAATGATGATAATGATGGTGATGCTGGTGATGTTGATGTTGATGTTGATGATGATGATGATGATGATGATGATGATGATGATGATGATGATGATGATGATGATGATGATGATGAGGAGGAGGAGGAGGGAGGAGGAGAAGGGGAGGAGGAGGAGGAGGAGGAGGATGTGACGATGATGATGATGATGATGTTGATGATGATGATGAGGAGGAGGAGGAGGTGGAGGAGGAGGAGGAGGAGGAGGAGGAGGAGAGAGGAGGAGGAGGAGGAGGAGGAGGAGGAGAGGAGGAGGAGGCGGAGGAGGAGGAGGAGGCGGAGGAGCAGGAGAGGGAGAAGGAGGATGAGGAGGAGGAGGAGGAGAAGGAGAAGGAGGAAGAGGAGGAGGAGGAAGGATAAGGAGGAGGTGGAGGTGGAGAAGTGGGAGGTGGAGGAGAAGAGGAGGAGGAGAAGGAGGTGGATCAGGGCCAAAATCAATAAAATCGCGAGTTTAGTGGCCTTGCCCCGTTTGGGGGGGGGGAGCGCGGTTTGAACCGCCCCCCCCTCCTGGACAGGGGGGGGAGGGTAAGGGGGCCGGTGTCCAGGGAGGGTCCCACTGCTGCAACGTGTCAAGGTTTTTTGTTCCTGGCAAGCGTCCACGAAACGCGTTCCCTTCTCCGACCTTCGATGGCAGTATATCGGGTCCAGGGGGCCATCAAAAGTGGATCTGGGACGCCAGACTACCATTGGTGGAGGGGTCCGTGGATGGGACAAGATCAGATCGGAGGATTTCCACAGAACTACCTCATCCCACCTCTCCTTCTCGTCGTTCTCTTCCTTCTCCTCCTCCTCTTCCTCGTCCTCCTCCTCCTCCTCCTGCTCCTCCACAGCCTCGTCTGCGCCCTCATCGTGTCCTGCTGCCAACCCTTCTCCAGCTCCTCGTCAGGTCTTATCCACTTCGTCCATGGGCGGTGTCATCCTCCTGCTCCTTCTCCGAAGTACTAGTGGTGGGCCTTGCCCCGGGTGGGAACTTCTGGTGGAACGACGTGGTTGCTTCGTTCCTGCAGTTTGCTCCCCGTCCGTCACGCGCTGTTCCAACTCGAGGACGTAGGTATACCAACGCAGTCGAGCACGCTGCCTCACCGACAGGGCCTTTGGCTCCCCTTCTAGCTCACCGCGCAGTTTTGCCTGCGAGTGGTATCCATGCTTCGACGCGGCGTGGCGTTCAGCGCTCGCGGCATTGTGTGCCGCAGGCGATCGCGCTTTCTGCTGCGAAAAAAGAAACGCCTCCTCGTCCTGGGGGGGAGGGAGGCGGAGTAGGAGTAGGAGTAGGAGGGGACGAGGAGGAGGAGGAGGAGGAGGAGGAGGAGGACAAGGAGGAGGAGGAGGAGGAGGACGAGAGGGGGTGCGAGCCGCGGGATGCGCTTCCTCGGGGCTCCCCCGGCTTCTTGACGGCACCTCCCAGCCTCCTTGCCTTTGCTCTCGGCTCTCCGTGGGCCTGTCGACGGCGTTCGCTTCCTGTCCCAGGCCTCCGTGGCCGTCGCTGCCTGCCGGGGTTGGCTTTCCGGTCGAGGGTTTCTTGGGGATTTTGAGAGCGTATGCTTCCTGCCAGAGGCTCGTGCGCGGCCTATTGTAGGCTCCGTTATGCGTTATTCCGGCGCTTTCTTGCCCTTGTCGTCGTGGCTGGGCCTCCGCCAACTTAATTGAATTGCGAGGAAGTCTAGAGCGAGAGCGCCGTTCCTGAGTTCGGGGGCCTCTCTGGCCAGAGTGTCCTGGGGTAGATTGTGAGGAAGTATCGAGCGGGTGCCGTTGTTGCCGGCTCAAGCCAACGCTCGAGCGGGAGCCCCGTCTTCAAAGAAAATGTAGCCGGCGTCAATAGCTACAACAACATCAACAACAACAGCAACAACAACATGCACACGTTTCCTCCGGCGATGTGGACAGCATTCGCATCGGGAGCAAACGGGACACGCAACCGAAGTTGCCCTTGGACGTGACCAGAACGCCTTCGAGCCGAGGCCGTGAGATCTCGGGGAAAACGGCACGGCAGGCGAGCAGCACGAGCAGGAAGTGTCGACATACCGAGAGCGCGGGGGAGTGGAGCGAGAAAGAGAAGTGAGACGAAGGACATGCAACACGACACACACACAACACACACAACACGACACACACGACACACACACACACACACACACACGCGCACTCATTGGCTTCCCTCCGACGCGCCAGTGAGTCCAGTCGACTGGCGTATGGTAACAGGACGCGTTCACCACGATTTGGCGGCTTTTGGTGGATGCGCTGTCAGAACTGTTGCACTCGGCGATGGACCGAACGGTGGAGCCAGGCAAGTGCAGGAAGAGTGGGCGCAGGGGGAAGCAGAGAGAGAGAGAGAGTTGGAGAGAGAGAGAGAGGGAGAGAGAGAGAGAGAGAGAGAGAGAGAGAGAGCGACACGCAGGCACCCACACACAAACGAAACACACGCGCACACGCACACTTTTGCATTGCAGCCGACCGCGCATCATCTCGGCACCACACGCACCACCCGCTACAACCGCGGTGGCGGAGATTCGGATTGACAGCTGTGGAGAAAGAGCCCTTCCGCTCCCTCGGGGCTGTCCACGCTCACAGGGGTGGCCCCCCTTCCCCAATGGCGATCGTGGCGCGCACTGGCCACGGGCAGAGAGAGAGAGGGAGAGAGAGAGAGAGAGAGACATTGTGAGGTACTACGTGTCCTCGGAGCAGCTGGCCGCGACGGTGGCGACGAGAAGCACCCTAATCAATCGCTCGCCGCATATTTGACGAGTCGGTTTGCGTGCGCGTTTTATGATGCGCGTGCGATGGTGCAAGTCCTCCTTGCTGTTTTCCTGCGCACTCGCCCTGGGATTCCCGCTTCCCTACCCATAATCACGCAGTCTAGATTTGTGCCCAGTCGGCATACGTTCGATTACAATCTTAGTTGACGCGCCCCGTTAGTGAAGGACGTGCCGTTTTCGTACGGAGTCACCGCGGAAGAGATCAAAGAACGCGTTCGATTGCTTTTTCTGGGCGGCAGTAATATGGATGGCTCACGGGAGGACCAAATTGTGTCAAAGGCATCGCTTCGTGAAGGCAACATTACTGTTGCAAGGGCGAACAACCGCAAATGTTCTTGCCATCAGGCTTCTTTTTATTCGGGTGTGGTTTCGAATCCAAGTTGCACGCAAGACCGTGTCGTCTGTAAAGGCAACGGGGAGGCGCAACTGCGTGCACGCCGCGCGCACCAAGCCCATGGCCTGCACGAGAGCGGTTGTGCGCGTAATGAAATAGACTTTGTTGTGCGCGCTGGTGGCGAGCAGCGCACCGTGTAGCGCACATGATGTTGTAGATGGATGCGTTGCAAACGCCGTCTCGAAAGAGCGCGCTCGTCGGGATATGTAGGCCATGCATCGGCACTGTTGCGCACGTTCCCCACGAGTGGCACGTTCTACGCGAATCAAGGGCCGAGTGCGACCTGCACTGCGTGGACACCTACTGTTGTTTGGCGCACCCAGTGGTAACATTGGCGCGGCAGGCGGATGCTGTCTCGAGAGCGTGAGAAGCACAGTCTTGCATTGGGTAGGCTCGCAACTCACTGCCCGCACGCGTGCCACTAGAACACCACCGAAATAAGCACACATGTTCGGAGGTCCGCGCGGTTTTGGTGTTGCCCGTAGTCGCTTGCGAACTATGAAAATGTCGCCATGTTCGTGCTTCATGGGGTGGTGCGAAGTGTGAAATTGACACCACTGTTGTGGGCTCTTGAGAGGTCGCACGGAGTGGAGTTACATGGAGATCCAGTTGAGACCTCGTGGCTCCCAGGGGGACTGCGAGGTGTGAATGCGTCGCCTTTTTCGTAGGCTCCCGGGAGGTCGCGCGGGGTGGAGTTACACGGGGGTCCAGCCGAGACCTCGCGGCCTTTCGTGGGCTCCTGGGAGGTCGCGCGAAGTGGAGTTACACGGGGACCCAGTTGAGACCTCGCAGCTCCTTCGGGGGCTTCGAAGTGTGAAATTGTCGCCACTTTCTTGATCTCCTGGGAGGCCTCGCAGAGTGGACTTCCACGGGGACCAAGCCGATACTTCGAAGTGTGAATGTTTCGCGACTTTGGTGGCCCTTGAGAGGTCGCGCGGAGTGGAGTTACACGGAGATCCAGTTGAGACCTCGTGGCTCCCTGGGTGCGAAGCGTGAACGTGTCACATCTCTCGCGGGTTCTTTGGAGGTCGCGCGCTGTGGAGTTGTTGAGGCCCTGCGGCTCCGTGGGGGGCTGAGAAGTGTGAAACTGTCGCTGCTTTCGGGGGCTCCTGGGAGGTCGCGCGGAGTGGAGTTACACGGGGACTCAGTAGAGACCTCGCTGCTCCCTGGGGGGCTGCCAAGTGCGAAATGTTCGCCACTTTTGTGGGCGATTGGGAGGTCGCGCGGAGTGGAGTTACACGGGGACCCAGCCGCGGCTTCGCGGTTCCCTGGGGGGCCGCGACGAGTGAATTTGTCGTCGTTTTCGTGGGCTCATGGGAGGTCGCGCCGAGTGGAGTTACACTTGAGACCTCGCGGCTCCCCTGGGGGGCTGCGAAGTGTGAAATGGTCGCCACCTCTGGGCTCCTTGTACTGAGCGGCCTTGTATATTTGTGCATCAATCTATATATTATATGAATACTATATGTAAATGTATATGCACGTTTGGATGTGTATCTATATATATATATATATATATGTATGCCGTATGTTGAGAACGGGTTGGGTACGTTGTCGAACAATTAAGTATTAGACATGCATGTGTACATGTATGCAACATGGGTATGCGCATTACAGGTATATACAGACATATACACATGAATGGTCGCGTCCTCGGCCGCTGGCCCCCCAGGCTGAGCCATCCTGTGTATACACTGCGCTTGCCGGATGGGTTGCGACCGTTTGCTCCCCCTGCTCCTCTTCCTCCTCCTCCCTCTTCCTGCTCCTCTCGGGGCTCAGTAGGCGCCCTTCTTGGAGGTTGTTGAGGGCCTCTCGGGTGCCTTGTTCTGGCGCCTGTTCGGAGCATCTCGGGAGTTTCTGGGGTCCTCTCCAGTTTGCGGGCAAGACCTGTGTCCATATCCACTGCAGGTTTGAGTTTCGGACTCCCAGCCCCAGAAACCCGAGGCACACGGGATATGGACAAACGTGTTGGCTGCCAGAGGCTAGATTTTTACCCATGTCCAGTGCGCCCCGGCCTTGTGGCGCGCCTTCCAAGAAAGTCCAAGACGCACTGGATATGGATATAGATCTTGCCCGCACAATCATGCCTCTTCGGTCGTCCTGGGCCGCTCGTGGGCGTCCTGAGGGTCTTTGTGGGGCCCTCTTGGGCCGTTTCTGCGACCGTCCGTCGTGCGGACCTCTTCGGTCATCCAGCATAGGCTCGCTTCCGGCCCAGGGATGGGCATTTAGTCAGGAACATCCGCCACCACAAATATACGCAGACACCCTCCAATGGATTGCTTCTGAGCCTCAGGGGACGGCGGCGGTGGATGAATCACCACTGACTTGATACACCGCCGCCCTCCCTGAAGGTACATGCAAAGATCGTCGGAGGGTGTCTGTGTGTATATTCTATGTAGGCAATTCCGCTGGCGCAGACGACCCTTGCCTCGCCGCCGACGCCAAAAAAGTATATATATATATATGTGGCGTAGAACACTCCATCGCTGGCCTGGAACACCGAGCCTAGTCTCTGGTCTTGTTGTGGCCCTCCTCGTGCTCTCGTAGGGACCTTTTATGGCCGTCTTGTCGCCATCTTGAACGCATATTTAGCCGTTTTGGTCTGCCATGGGCCAAGTTTGAATCGGTCCAAAACTAGAAGTTTGGCATCTTGAGGCCCTCTTGGGGGACCTCTTGGGCCCCTCCTGGGGCGTCTTGAGGCTTTTCCCCGTCTTGAGACCTTCTCGGGGCCCTCTTGGGCCGCTTTGGGTTCTTGATGCGCTCTTCGGAGGCCTCTTTGCGCCGTTCGTGCCGTGCGCTGGCGTCCCTATGGGATTGGCTGCAGCCGCCCTCGTAGACAGTCAAATGGAGAGAACCGGAGAGGCAAAATACAGAAGACGGAATAAGGAACACCAGACAGCAGTTCAGCAATCCATGTCACTTCTTTGCGTCCCCACGGGGCTCGACGGATTTCTACAATGTGCTGTACACGCATACATCTATATATATATATATATATATCGATATGTGTGTTGTGTTGGGCGCTCCAGTGGGACTCAGGGAAATCTGAGAGAGAGGGGGAGAAGAGTTACATTAGCTTCATATGCTGGATCGGTAACTTGTGTGCAATGGGATTTGTTGTCGTAGCCAATATCCCTTGAGGACACGTGGCCGCCGGCCCAGATAAATCGTCGCATGCGTGCTCGTGAAATCGCAAGCCTTGACACCCTGGGTCACCAGGTTCTGCCAAAGTCTGTAGCAGTTGTCCCCAAGAGCCCTCGGCCCACGTCGCCAGGAGTCCACCACGGTTGCATTGCGTTTCCAGTAAAGCCCAGACTGCCAAGAGCAGCCAGGGAGCATGCCCGCGCATGCTGCCCCACCCACTATTGTACAGATTTGGATGAGAGCGACTCCGCGCTGCGATGCTCGCTAGCGTGGTGGATCGACTCGCAGGCTGTCTTCGGCCTCCATTCATCGACCGCTCTTGTGAACGGCGATGCCAGCTCGCAAAAGAGCCGCGTGGTTTGTTGTCATTGCTGCGGTCATCCGCAAGGGTGTTGTATCATATTCTTGCACATGGGTGGCGAAAAGGGGGGCCAGTGGCCGCGAGGAGACGGGCTGAAAGGTAAGACTGTTCACGAGAATTCCCCAGTGCGTGGGAGGAGGTCATTAAGATTCTCTTCTTCAGACAGGGAAGAGGGACGCGATCTGAATCTGACCGTCGAAGAGAAGTCATGAAGTCTCACGAGCACACAGAGGAAACATAGTTCACCTGACAGTCGACCATCTTTTGGACGTTCTTGGGATCGACCGCGCATACTTGCATCTATGTGTTACCGCGAAGGTGGCGCAGAAGCTGAAGGCCATAAAGCTGGTCTACATTACAAAGGGTGCCCGGCCGGCCGTTTCAGAGCATGTGTCTGCCCGCGCTTGCATCTGCAACTTCTCCAGCGCCATGGCTTGTTTCGAGAATTACTGGGTCCCCGCAAGTCCCGACCCCTTCCCTGGGCCGTCTTTTTTCCGAACTTCGGCGGCGAGCGAGGGAGGGAAGTGAAGAAGGAGAAGGCCTTCTCAGAAGGCGGCGGGACTTCTCAGAAGCCCTCGCGCGTTCTGCCAGGTTTTCTGCGCCTTCTGGGAAGGCTTCGAAAAATTCTCAGAAGGCGAGGGGACTTCCGAGCCTCTCGACAAGGCCTTGTCCTTCTCGCTTCCCCCCCTCGCTCGCCGCCAGAAGACTATTCCTTGATGGTCGTGGAGTCCGAGAACGACCGCCAGAGGCCGAGCCCGTGGAAGAGTTTCCTCTTCGATGTCCCAAGATGAAGGGGGCCGCTGGGCTGACGGGCCGTGCGCTCTCCGCAGTTCCGTCCTCGTGGTCCAGAGCCTGCGCTACACGACACCCCTGTGACCGTGTTGCCAGCCAGCTTGTCTTCTCGTGCGGCACCGCACCCAAGTTTGCTCTCGTCCTACACTGCGGTCGGGGCTCCAGCACCAGGGTCAGGTCCACTTCGGGTTTCGAAGGGGGCCCGATGCCGATCAGGATGGGCAGGGGAGGAGGAGGAGGAGGAGGAGGAGGAGGAGGAGGAGGAGGAGGAGGAGGAGGAGGAGGAGGAGGAGGAGGAGGAGGAGGAGGAGGAGGAGGAGGAGGAGGAGTGGGAGGAGGATGAAACGAGGAGGAGGAGGAGGAGGAAACGAGGAGGGGGAGGAGAGGATGCGAATAGTGATAGTGTCACGAGCTGCCAGTGAAGTCTTCAAAACCGAAGAGTGGGCTACCCGCGCTGGGCCAGAGCGTTTCGCCTGATCAGCCTTACTCAGGACTTTCGCAGCATCCCCAGGCGGGCACGAGTAAACTACGGTGGGGGCGTTGGTTAAGGAATGCGTCCAGGATGCTGCAGACCTTGGAGGATTCCTTATCTGATGAGGGCGGCGGTGATATCCATGGCCAAACCTCGATTGGGGCCCCACCGGCCTCCAGACCCTGGATTCCTTATCTGAGGGTTCCTTATCCAATGCCCCCACCGTCACCCCCCTTCCGTCGGCGCGGTTTTTTGGCAAAACTTTCGGATGGATGCTCTCTGCTGGCTGGTGTAGCAGCCTCGTGTCTCACGCACACTGAGAAACAGCCCAACTTCGGGCTCGGATTCAGCGCGTGCCTTTCGTGCGACTACCCCCTGGCCGAATCCAGCTGACTCCCAGGAGGATCTTTGTGAAAGCCCACAGCGAACGCAGCGCTGGCTCTAGAGGCCGACCCCTGCCAGCGGTTGCCCTGCCTACCCGAGTCGTCCTGAACGTGGCCAGCGTCAAAAACAACACAATTGCCTTGTGAGAAAGAGAAGGAGGAGGAGGAGGAGGAGGAGGAGGAGGAGGAGGAGGAGGAGGAGGAGGAGGAGGAGGAGGAGGAGGAGGAGGAGGAGGAGGAGGAGGAGGAGGAGGAGGAGGAGGAGGAGGAGGAGGAGTAAGAAGAAGAGGGAAGAGGAGAAGAAGGAGGAGATGGAAGAGGCGGAGGAGGAGGAGAAGGATAAGGAGAAGGAGGGGCAAAGGACGCATACTCGCCTCTCCCCGCTGCTTAGCCTCCACGTCCGCGTCCGAGGAGTCCGCGGCCGCGCGCAGCAGGGACGGACGCTGCTTGACCCAGAAGGAGGCCGGGCGCTCTACGCTGCGGACCTGGAGCCCGGCGGCCTCTGTGGCAGTCTCACGCGTGTGGCCACGTCGAAAGTTGTAAAATCAGCCACGGGCGTGCCGAGGATCGTCCACCGAGGAGCGGCGCGGCCCTCGAGATTCGTGCCCGTCGGATGCGGATGCCAGACTCAGCCTCTCGCCCAGCGCGGGGGATCGATCCGCAGAAACGCAGCCCCGTGCGTGTCCAAAGTCGGGGGCGGCAAAGAGGGGGGTGATGACTGGGGGGGGGTGGATATCATGGCGGGGGCCATGATATTTCCCCAGATTTCATGGCGCCTCTTCGTATTTCATTACGTCCCTGGCCCCCCCGCTGGGCCGCGCACATGCCGCCGGTCATGATTTGCACCCCCCCTCTTGGACACCTCCCTCTTGGCCGCTCCCGACAAAGGCCTGAGTCCCGCCCCCACAGATCTGCGCGCTTGCGCGCGAACCAGCCCTTGCACTGGTGCTCGCAGTCAGTGGGATGCCTGATGGACCCACGAGTGGCCCAGATGGCAAATGGCCAGCCGGAGAACCTCTCAGCTCCCTTGAGGGACACTTGTCTGCCGACGTCCAGGCAAGGGGACTGAAACTTGAGCATGAATCGAACAAGGATCGAAACTCCTCATCACCACAGTCAAGACACAATGCAAACCTGAGAATCTGTGGACCTGCTGTATCCGCACCTCTGCCGGCGTCTCCGAAAATGATAGTCGGATTGCCGTTGACGCCCTCGGAGGTGCAACCGTCTGGCAACTTTCGATTACGACTGACGAGCACGGCTCATCATCAAACGGTGGGTTTGGCGTGGACGTCAATGCTGGAAGGATAAGCCCACGATGACAGAAACATTCTCGAAGAGCTCGTGTTGAGTGCTCGCAGCACCCGTCAAATAGTACGGTGTCACGTCCATGTTGGATGATACGATGATCCAGCGCCGTCGACATACAGATGGCGAGCGAAGCTCCCCCTGCGCTCACTCCTGCATGCTCAGCCAAGGTTACTTTGAGTACACGCGACCAACCTCCGACCGGCCATCATCAACATCATACGTGCGAGTCGAGGTCATCTCGACTGAGCACTTGCCGTCTGCCTGAACGGCCTTCGCAACAGGGAGACGTCGGTCTCCTGCTGGAGCCCTTCACCGTCGACTTAAGAATCAGTCTGACTTCGATTCAATGCACCTTTATCACAGCCTTGTGGTAATCACTTGAGAGCCAGTCAATATGATCGAGTGCTTTGACACTGGACAGATCTTCATCGGAAAATGTTCAATCATGATCTCCAGGGAGCTCCCAATTGGTGGGTCTTCTGGCAGTCCGGCCGCAAGATATAATGTGAGGGAACATTGCAGATTCAGGGTGGCGAGCGTTATGATTCCGTTGAGCAGGTGGCCGGCCGGCCAACGTCATATGGATTCGATCCCACGCTCGACGAATATCCGATCGCGGCTCAGGACGCTTTCCCCGCTGCTGCAGCCATCACTCGAATGTCCCGCGAGGCCAGAGTTGGCCGCCCTGCTCCTGAGCTTCCCCGTTGGCCCTCCAATGAGCCTGGCAGCCTGGCGGGCCGCCAGAGGATGAACGAGGCGGGAGGAGGGCGGCGGAGAGGAGGAGGAGGGAGGACGGAGGAGGGAGGAGGGAGGAGCGTCTGGCCCAAACGTGCCCGAATTTCTTGGCCTCTCGTCAGGAGGGGGGGCCATCACTCTCGTGCCCGTCGTGCGGGCGAGTCTGCGGAGCTAGGCGGCCCGGCGAGGGAGGACGACCTGCTGCGCAGCTCACGCGCGAGGAGGGAGGAGGAGGAGTTTCCGCTGCTCGCGCCGGTGCGCAACCAATGCTCCAAAAGAGCCCAAGGTTTTGCTTGTGGCAATTTTGCCGAAGCCTCTTCCTGTCGCCGGCCGCATCTCGAGCGTGCTCGGCGCGAGTGTCGCGGCGGGGTTCGCCCTGCCCTCGCGTTTCTCCCGAGCTGCGCGGCCCCCATCGTCTTGATCTGAGCTGCGTGGGGCACCTCTTCGTCGTCCTCTATCCTTCTGTGTAGTTATAGTGCCTCGCTTTCTCTCATTGCCCGGGTTGCGGATCTTCCGCGTTCAGCGTCCGTCGTCTCCGCTTCTCGACCACGCTTCACCTTCTCCTCCTCGTCCCGCCTCCTGCGCAGCGGTCGCCACTCACGCGGGCTCTTGAAGAGGTCCAGCGGAGTGGCAGGCCACGCAGAGTCAGCGGAGACCAGGCGGCTCCCCGGGGGGCTGCCAGTGCCAGCTGCGCAAAACTGTGCTCACTTTCGTGGGCGTCTGAAAGTTCCAGCGGGGTGGGGGGCCATGCAGAGCCAGCGAGACCTCGCGGCTCTTGAGGGGGCTGCCAACTGCACACAACTGTTGCCACTCTCGTGGGCTCCTGGGAAGCCCAGCGGAGAGCGGGGAGCCATGCTCAAATCCAGCGGCGACCTCGCGGCTCCTGGGGGGATTTGCCCACTGCGAAGCTGCCTCCACTTTCGTGGGCTTCTGGGAGGTCCCGCGGAGCGGAGGGGCCCTGCGGATCCAGGAGGGGACCTCGCGGCTCCCAGGGAGGCTGCCAACTGCACGGCCGTCGCCACTGTCGTGGGCGCCTGGGCGGTCCCGCGGAGCGGAGGGGCACGCGGGGCCGGCGGGGACCTCGCGGCGCCTGGTGGGGGTTGCCAACTGCGCAAAACTGTCGCCACGCTCGTGGTCTCCTGGGAAGCCCAGCGGAGTGGGTCGCGGGCTGGGTCGCGGGGCGGGTCGCGGGGGTGGGTCGCGGCGTGGGTCGCGGGTTGGGTCGCGGGTGGGGGTGGGTCGCGCGTGGGTCGCGGGGCGGGTCGCGGGGCGGGTCGCGGGGCGGGGCGCGGGGTGGGTCGCGGGGTTGGGTCGCGGGGTTGGGTCGCGGGGTTGGGTCGCGGGTGGGTCGCGGGGTGGGTCGCGGGTGGGTCGCGGGGTCGCAAGAGGGACGACGCCAATCACCACCATCATCACATCATCATCAACAACAATAATAATACGAATAACAACAATAATAACAACAACATCAGAACACCAACAACAATGACAATAACAACAACCACAACCACAACAATCTAAACAACAACAACAATCTAAACAACAACAACAACAACAACAACAACAACAACAACAACAACAACAACAACAACACCAACACCAACAACAACACCAACAACAAAAAAAAAAAAAAAAAAAAAAAAAAAAAAAACAACAACAACAACAACAACAACTACAACAACAACAACAACATCAACAACAACAACCACAACCACAACCACAACCACAACAACATCAACAACAACAACAACAACCACACCAATCATTGTACCCTCATGCGCGATATTTCCACACGGAGCTGTTGTTGTTGGGAGTGGCGCCAATGCTGAAGAGAGTAGGGCGCTAGTCCAGCGTCAAACAAACCAATGTCTCGAGCGGGAACGCTGGTTTGTTGAGACGGCGGCTTTCGGCGGCGAGGAGGAACACCGCCTTGAGTAAGAAGGGAGGAAGCATCGAGCGGGAGCCGTGGTTCTGTCCGGACGGGGGCTGTCGGCGGCGAGGAGCAGCACCGTCCCGAGAGAAAAAAAGGAAATCTCGAGCGGGAGCGTTGTTCTTGTTGGGAACGGCGCCAATTCAAAAGAGAGTTGGGCGCCAGCCCAGCGTAAAACGGAAGAAAGCCTCGGGCGGGAGCGCTGGTTTTGTTGGGGCGGCGGTTTTCGGCGGCGAGGAGGAACACCGCCTTGAGTAACAAGGGAGAAAGCATCGAGCGGGAGCCGTGGTTTTGTCGGGACGGTGGTTGTCGGCGGCGAGGAACAGCACCGTCTTCAGGAAAAAAGAAATCGCGAGCGGGAGCGTTGTTCTTGCTGGGAGCGGCGCCAAGTCAAACGAGAGTTGGGCGCCAGTCCAGCGTAAAACGGGAGGAAGTCTTGGGCGGGAGCGCTTTTTTTGTCGGGGCGGCGGTTTTCGGCGGCGAGGAGGAGCACAGCCTTGAGTAAAAAAGGGAGGAAGCCTCGAGCGAGAGCGTTGTTTTTGCTGGGGGCGGCGCCGATGAGAGAAAGACTAGCGCGCCAGTCCAAGGTAAAACGGGAGGAAGTCTCGAGCGGGAGCGCTGGTGTTGTTAGGACGGCGGCTTTCGGCGGCGAGCAAGAACACCAGCCCAGAGTAAAAAAGGAGGACGTCTCGAGCGGGAGCGCTGTGGTTGTTTTGGGGCCGGTTTTGGCGGTCCCTCAAACCGCTCGAGCGTGAGCCTCATTTTCGATGAAAATGTAGCCGGCGCCCCGGCGAGAGCGCCAAAGCGCGTTTAAGGTGTCCAACAATAATAACTGTTGGGTAATTAACATTCAACAGCAACAACGACGACGACAACAACAACGACATTAGCAGCAGCAGCAACAAAAACAAAGACCACAATGATAGCAAACCAGAAGACAAACAAACGAACAAACGAACAAACAGCAACAACAACAACAACAAAAGCAAAAACAGCAACAAGAAACACTCGCATCGCGGAGTCCCACTTCAGCCACGCACCCAGGGACAGTGAATGACCGTCTGGCCTCCTCATTCTGGATAATACGTTGTTTTGTGGTTTTTCTGTGATGCCCCATGAGGCAGGGCCAAGATACCTTAGTGTATCTACGCGCGGTTCCCAGTGGAGTCCCCTGGGGACAATCGCTGTTCACACATAGTCAGACACCTGGAGATGCCGACATCACCAGGTCGCCTGGTGGTCCGGAGCTGCGAGGCTCCTGGTTTTTTTCTTCAAAGCATTGTTCATTCGGTGCAACCTGTGCTGAGCGAGCAGCCACCGGCGTTCCCTGCACACTACATTCGACCCGCATTGTAAGGATGGGTAACCTTCCCAAGGGGACCCTTGCATCCTCGCCTCCTCGGTTCATCCTTGGCCACTTTCGTTGGCCGCGCCCCGCTCGAGAAGCTTCGAAAGGGCCTTCCCAGTCCCCTGCATCCTTATCGTGCGTCCTTATTATACTTGCCGGTTGTAGCCTGCGCACCATCTTCATTTGAGAGGACCTGGCAGGTGCTCGCATCCCCTATCTCTGCGGGCGCCCTGGCCCTCCAGGGGCGCCCCCCGCAGGCCAGCGCCTCGTCGACGAGCGCGATGGCCTCGTGATATGCGGCATCCAGCTGCAGGAGCAAGCTTGGGTTAAGTCGGGCATGTGTTTCTACAAGAGGAATAAGCAAAAAATAGTTGCAACGAACCAGTCTCTGTAAGATTTCTTGATTAGCTTTGATTAGTTTTGCATGTCTCTGGAATTCCAGAAGCCGCCAGTGGGAGGACATGCCCGACCTAAAGCTTGTTGGAGCTGGATGAGGGCCTGAGGTGGCAAATAGTATTGGTTCTGGCCAGCAGGAAGGGGGGGTGGTAGGTTCGAGCTGCTGGCTTCTACTACGCTCTTTGTTCTTTTCGGCCTCCACAGGCCGTTTTCGGGCCTCGGGGCCGTCAAAAAACGGATCTGCGCCGAAAGGCTACACCAGATGGACCTTGGGAGGGATTCGGATACCGATTTTGAGCGGAGTTGGCCTTACGGTAGGTTAGGGTCGCGTTGATTGGCGGCGACCCCGCCACCGGCGTTCAACGTTGAATTCCGCCTGCGACCCAGAAACGGTCGATGTCGAACGATCGGGCGTCTCGGAAACGGCAGATCGTTCAACACGAACCCGTCATACGGTAGAGGGAAACAATCATTGCACCCCCCCTTCCCCAAATTCAAAGTTGGCACGCGCGGGGAAGACTGCGGCCGAAATGCAACTGCTCATCCATGGCCAACATTGGTCATTTCAGGCATTTTCTCGGGGCCCCTTCCGTCCGCACCCACCGGCCGCCTCCCAGTGCCGGCCCTCTCTTTCCTTTGACTTCTCTGGATGTAAAACACTGCACCATGGCTCTTTCAGGAGGGAAAATAACACACAGATGCAATCAATCGTCGACTCCCAGCTATGTCTGGAGCGCTGTTTCTCGGCACTCTGGAAGGTCAAGGTCCCCGCCCCCCACGCCCACCTTACGACCTCTGACGCCATGACTCGATCAGTGCACGTGTCCGGCGAAGTCCCGATAGTTTCCCCGTGGCGGGTTTTTCGCATGGTTCCGTGCCCAGGACAACACACCCGGGCCGGGCTGCGAAAGCAGGGAAGAATGTTTCTGAGAAGGTATTTTCAAGGCTTCCGATGCCCAGGCTGGCCCCTCCCTCTTCGCTTCCCCGTAGGTCTCTGGAGCTTTCGGAGGTTCCCGGGGGGGGGGGGGGGGCAGAGAGGACCGACACAGCATTCAAGCAAAACCGCATCGATCCTCCCTCGAGCCTCGCTCCTCAATTCAGGGGCCACCTTGCTGGGGGACGGCTTCAGGGGGGAGCGCATCAACCTCTAATCGCCCATCGATCGTCGATAGGGGCCTGATGGGCCACCCCGCCCAGGAACGTTCGGTTGTGTTGTCGAGGGCCCAGCGCCGATCCATCGGCGATGTGCAACCGAATCCTGGTTGGTACTTCCCCCTAGTGTTTCCCTTCGGACAAGCCTTGATTATCCCTCGAACATCGGTCCTCAATCGATCCTCCCCCGCTCACCTCTCCCCCAGGGCAGCTCTAGCTCGCTCACATGCCCTCGGTCTTCGTGAAGAAGCAGCACGGTCGGACCGAGGTATAAGATCGAGGTCGGTTCGGGGAGTGTGCTCTAATGTTCTTCGTGTCCGTTGGACGTGTTTGTGCATCCTGGGGGGGGCCCTCGAATGTTCCTCAGTTTGGCCGGCGGAGGGTCTCGTGTTCTTGAAGTCAACCCATAACCCTAACAACGCAATGATTTCGTGGCCTAACTTAGACCATCGGTGTTTAGGGTTACCAAACATGTGGGTGGTACCGTCTGAGACATCTAAAGAAAGGCCTGCCTATCTAGGATATGTTTGGTCCTCCTAACTTACGTCCCCTCCTAAAGGATTGCGGGTGATTTGTTGCAGTTTATCATGAAGGAGGTTTTTCTGTCCGCACGTTCTCCGCGCCGCCGTGCCCCCTGGGCGACCTGCGTCGCTCACACCCCGCTTGCGCCCGCCTGGTCTGGCCCCGGGGTTGTTTTCACCAACGGGTGTCTTGCCAAAGAGAGCCCTGTCCACCCACGATGACCGGGCGCGTCCCACCACTCGCAAAGTCCCTTCTCGCATACGTCTGGGAAAAAACACGCTCGCCTCGATGTAATGGGCTGTCAGTCCTCCTCGGCGGAGCCGGGCCATTTGCGAGTAGTTTGTTTTATTTGCGAACAGTGGAACGCGCTCGTCTGCACGAGGATCGGCGGCGAACCCGGGGGGGAGGGAGACGGGGCGGGCCTTCCCAGAAGGCCTGGAGGCACCCCCCCTTCTGAGAAGTTGTTTGGGGCCTCCCCTGAAGACCCAGAACAGAACTGTTTCAGGAGGCGCGGGAGCTTCCTGAAAAATCCCGCCGCCTTTGAGGAGGCCTTCTGCTTCTCGCTTCCCCCCCTCGGTCGCCGCCGAAAGGTTACGCGGCGGCGTGCCTGACGGGGGCCACGAGCGCTTATCTGGGGCAAAGAGAGAGAGAGAGAGAGAGAGAGAGAAAAAAAAAAAAACAAAAAAAAAAAAGAGAGAGAGAGAGAGAGGGAGAGAGAGCGCGGCCTTCGGGCGGCGACCTGGCGACGACCCAGCGCCCACGGGTCGCCAAGGGGGCGGCGACCAGACATGAGAGCCAGCCATGAACGGAGGAACAGCCACCCCGACCCCGACGATCGGCGTTCACGAAACGGCCCTGGGCGTCCACGAAGCTGCCCTGCCCTGTTCGATCCCCTGCCGCGGGTGCGTGTGCGGAACGGCCTCGGCTTGGCGGGGTATACCTGTTGTGGGGGTGGCTTCCCTGCCTTCCTGGGCCCGCGCACGAGGCGGGAAGGCCAGAAGGCGACGGGCGGTGGCGGGGCGGACGCCCAGAAACGCCCAGCCAGCTGTGCAGCGCTCTTGGGCTTAAGTCGGGCCTGTCCCTCTGCAGGGGGAAGATCCAAAAGCATATTCAAAAAATAGTCGGGGGACTATTCTTTGACTATGTTTGACCAGTTGGGGCATTTTCTAGTATTTCCCTACCTAGGCTCTGCCTAGAAGGGTTCTTACTCTCTAGCTTAAAGGGGCCCGGCAGTGGAAAGCGCCCCGGGCGGTTCCCCCAGTCCCCGCCCCGCGGTTCCCCCCCAGTCCCCTGGGAGCTTTAGCTTTAGCTTTAGCTTTAGCTTTAGCTTAGCTTTAGCTTAGCTTTATCTTAGCTGTAGCTTAGCTGTAGCTTAGCGCTTCGCATAGCTTTTCGCTTAGCGTTTAGCTTAGCTTTAGCTTAGCTTTAGCTTAGCTTTAGCTTAGCTTGAGCTTAGCTGTAGCTTAGCTTTAGCTTAGCTTTAGCTTAGCTTTAGCTTAGCTTTAGCTTTGATTTAGCTTAGCTTTAGATTAGCTGTAGCTTAGCTTTAGCTTAGCTGTTGCTCAGCTTTAGCTAAGCCTTAGCTTAGCGTTAGCTTAGCTTTAGCTTAGATTTAGCTTAGCTGTAGCTTAGCTTTAGCTTAGCTTTAGCTTAGCTTTAGCTTAGCTTTAGCTTAGCTTTAGCTTAGCTTTAACTTAGCGTTACTGTTACTACTAATGCTGCTTTCATAGGGGTTCCAACTCCTAGGTAGGGTCGCACTGGGATAATTTTTATTGTTTCGTCTAAAATCCCCCTTTATCGGGGACAGGCCCGACTTAACTCTGGGCCTCCCAGGTGGGTTCCGAGGGGTCGCGAGGGGTCGGAGGATCGCGCCGCACCGCCGATGCATCGCCGATGCTGCTCGATGCGGAGCCCGATTTTCTCCACGCCTACGTCGCCGATGTATCGCCGACGTCGCCCGTGCATCGCCGATGCATCGGCGATGCGGCGCGATCCTCCGACCTCATCTGCCCAGATCCCATCTAGGAGGCTAGACGGGCGGTGACGGGACGAACGCCCCAAAGCGCCACCCCTTTGTGCGGCAGATGATCGGGGAAAGGGAGGCGCCGTGTTTCTCCATGTTTTGCGGCACAGAGGCGATTGCCATTTCTTGGGCCCAGGGCCGTCGACAAGTTCCGACGCAATTCCGATGACTGGTCTGAACTGGGACGGGTCGGGAGGTCGGCTTTGTCTTCTTCGGCGCGGTAGGAAGGAGGTCGAGCTCACGCCCCGCGGCAGTCCATCGAGTGGTCCGAGTTGGGAAGCGTCGCGATCTCGACCTCGTCGTCGTCCGCGCGGGATGGAGGAAGAAGGGGCGCGGGAGGAGGAGAAAGAGGATATATACCATATGAAGGCGAGGAGGAGAAGGACTCATGGGCCCCTTTCTTAGGGCCTCCTGGGTGCTTCCTGTGAGTCTTCTCTGGGTCTCTCGGGAGCCTCCTGGGACCTCTCGGGGGTGTCTCGGGACCTTGTGGGCCGTCCTAGGGAGCTCTTGGTTCGCCTGGCACTTTCGGATGCCGTCTTGGGGGCTTGTTGGGCCGTTTCGGTCCTGCTTGGGGGGCTTAGGGGCTGCCTTGGGGCCCTCTTGGGAGCCTCTTGGGAGGTCTTGGGGTCCTTTTGGGCCAATCTGGGGTCCTCTTGGGGGCCTCCTTTTCTTGTCTTGGAGCCATCTTGGAGGCCTCGTTGGCCGTATTGGGCGATCGGAAACCCAAATAAGCGAGGACCTTAAATCCAGCACCAACCCAAGGTGTTGTTCGGCGTCCTCGGGCTCTCCTGGAGGGCTTCTTAGAGCTCTCTTGGATGCCTCCTGGGGCCTTTTGGGCTTGTTGGCCCGTCCTAAGGAGCTCTTGGCCCGTCTGACACCTTCGGAGGCCGTCTTAGTGCATTCTTGAAGCGCTTTAGGGCCGCCTTGGGACCCTCTTGTGTGCCTCTTGGGTGATCCTGGGGTCCTCTTGGGCCGACTTGGTCCCCTCTTGGGGCCCTCTTGGGGACCTCCTTTGCTGTCTTGGAGCTATCTTGGAGGCCTCTTGGGCCGTATTTGGCGGTCAGAAGCCCCAACAATCGAGAACCTTAAAATCCAGCAGCGACTAAAGGAACGTAGCGTCTTTTCGCCTGCTCAGGCTGTACTGGATGGCCCCTTGGAGCTCTTGGGCCGTCTTGGAGGCCATTTGGGCCGTCTGGAGGCCGTTATGAGAGCCTCTCGAGCCGTCTTGGGTCATCTTGGCCCGTTTGCGTGTCGTCTGGGTTGTCTTGGAAGCAGTTTCGGAGGCCATCTTAACTGTCTCGAGGCCGAAAAGAGCGCCGGGGAGCAATTTCAGCGGGAGCGAGGTTCTAATTCTGCACGCGGTGCAGAGAGGGGGTCGGTCCTGGAAAACATAAAAGATTAGCTTGACGAGCGACCCAACCATCTGCAGTTTTGAGTGCCGTCGTTGTGAGTATTGCTTTCGGTGGAGCTCTACATGCTGCCGCGAAACGCGTGACGGGTGTGCCGAAATGGGTGGCGGGGGCGCATTCGGACGCAGTCTGTGGGGACGTCCGCGGAACCCCCTATGAGGCCACGAAGCGTGTGAGGGGTGTGCCGAAATTGATGGCGGGGACGCATTCGGCCGCAGCCACTGGGGCCTTGGTCGGGCTCCCTTTGGGGCCACGAAGCGTGTGAGGGGTGTGTCGAAGTCGGTGGCGTAGACGCATGCTGCCGCAGCCACTGCGGCCTCAGGTGGAGCTCCCTATGGGGCCACGAAGCGCGTGAGGGGTGTGCCGCAATCGGCGGCGCGGACGCATGCTGCCGCAGCCAGTGGGACCTGAGGTGGAGCTGGGACCACGAAGCGTAGTTGAATGTGGGTGGTCTGAGTGTGAGTGTGAGTGGTCTGAGAGTACCTCAGTGTGAGTGAGGGCGTGAAAGGCCCGAATGGTCCGAGTGTGACTGTGAGTGGCCCGGGTGTGAGTGGTCTGTGTGCGAGTGTGAGCTTAGGCCACGTGCACGAGGGCTCCGAAACGGGCAAACCGCCCGAGACATCACGGCAATCTGGGCGCGAACAGACCCGTGGTTTACCCCGTGGTGGCTCCCCCTTGAGGCGCTGGGGAGCCGGCGCCCCGCCCGAGGCAACCTCACAGGTTGCGCCGAAAGCAGATGGCGTTGCGCACGCAAAGAGGCCTACCGCCTGAGACATCCCCACACGATCTGGGCGCGGATCCCCTGGAGTGTCCCCACCCTGGCGGCTGCCCCACTGGGAGAGCTGCAGCCAGCGCGCCGCCGGAGACATCCTCACGAACTCCTCCGAAGGCAAGGGATGCTGCGCACGCAAACAGGCAGACCGCCTGAGACATCCCCACAGTCTGGGCGAGAATCCTGAAGTGTCCCCGCCCTGGCAGCTCCCCCTTGGGAGTGCTGAGAATAGCACCTCATCAGAGACATCCCTACAAGCTCCACTGAATGCAGAGGATGCTGCATGCACACAAGCAGACCGCCTGAGACATCTCCACAATCTTATCGCGAATTCTGGAGTGTCCCCATCCCTGGCGGCTCCCCCGAGTCGCGCCAACCCCGACGACGGCTAGGACGAGGACGACGACGACGACGACGACGACGACGACGACGACGACGACGACGACGACGACGACGACGACGACGACGACGACGACGACGACGACGGCGACGACGACGACGACGACGACGACGGCGACGACGACGACGGCGGCGACGACGACGACGGCGACGGCGACGACGACGACGGCGACGAGCACGACGACGGCGAAGACGGCGGCGAGAGCGCCCACGGGCGCCTCGCCCCCCTCGCCCGCCGAGCTCGCGGCCCCCGACGCGCCCCCCCCGCGGGCGAGGACGCCTGCAGGCTCGTCGAGGACCTGGAGCGCAACCGCCCGCCAGGTTGCGCGGGCCCTGCCTCGACTCGGGCGAAGAGAACTATGCAGATGCACCGATCCTGGCAAGGCCCATCCTTGACCCAGGATCGGTGCATGTGCCTTCCTGGCCAAGGCAGGAGGGCGTATGCACCGATACTGGGCTCAGGATGGGCCTGGTCAGAATCGGTGTATGTGCATAGTTTTCGTTCCTCTAGCCTCAACGGAGGTCCCCGCAGGCCTTCGAAGTGACTCGGAGGCCTCGTCTCGAAGAAGAGCAAGCAGCATAAACATGATCTGTTTTCGCTCCGCGCGGACTTCTTGGATCTGCGTTGGGCCCCCTGGCGGCGCCTCCGGCGCCGCCCCTGGTGCGCTCCGCGCGCCAGGGAGGGGGGTCCAGCTCAGATCCGAGAAATCCGCGAGGACCGCCAAAAGTTTATGTTATTGCAGTTGGTTGCTTCCTCATCGGAGGCCTCCTCGGAGAGCCTCACGAGGGCCTCACGAGGCTTTCTCGGTTCGTCGAAGGCCCTCCGACCAGGCCCTGCCAGGCCCCCGAGGAGGACGTCGCCTTGCTAGGCGCCAGGACCCCCTGCGGTCATCTCCGTCGCCGTCGCACGCCGCACGCGCCGCACCTTGCTTTAGAGCCCCGAGTTATCAGGGCACTGGGTGGTCAGGGATAACGCCTGACTCGGGCCTCCCGTTTTTGGGGCCAGAGTTGCCCCGGATAGCACTCAACTCGATTCCTCCCAGATCACATTCTGCCCCATGTAGATATTGCCCAGTACATTCATGGAAAATGAGGCATGCAGGATTAAGGTCTTCAAGGGTTTCCCGGATTGCGCTTCCTGGCGCCAGACACGGCCCTGCCCAGACAAGGTCCATCCCGGATAGTTCGGGCGCCCAGCTGTTTCGTGTTGCAGCCTCGGGATGCATCATGGCTCGGGGCGCACGGATCTTCCTCCTTCTCCTCTTCCTCCTCCTCGTCCCCCTCCTCTCCCTCCTCCTCCTCCACCTCCTCCTCCTCCTCCTCCTCCTCCTCCTCCTGCTCCTCCTCCTCCTCCGAAAGCAGACCCGATGTAGGCCTGGGCGGTTTTGGTGTTTTTTCTAGAAGAAGCAAGGCGCCGACAAAATCTGCTCGTGAACAGTCGCAGCCTGCGCCTTCTGCACATGGGCGGGCTGCGGAGAAGCAAGGCGCCGACAAAACTGCACGCGAGAGGTCGCAGCCTGCGCCTTCTGCACATGGGCGGGCTGCGCGCTCTGATTTGGCGACTTAATGCATGCAGCCTCTCTCCCTGCGAACAGACTGGCCAAACTCCTGGAGCAGGTCGTTGCCTGACCTCCGCATGCGCCACACCCAAGCCCACAAGTACGAGCGGCAACGCTCCCAGTCTGAAGTGTGGACGCTGTCTGGGATGCTGTCGCGCATCTCAGGCCAGAGGCCATCGCAACACTGCGTGCCTTTTTTCAAATGAAGAGTCTCGGTGCGCCCGTTCGGGCGCACGACGCGCACGCGGTCGACGACGGCCCACTGTTCTGCATCGTGAGAAACTATGCCGTGCGATAGCTTCAGATGCTTATAATGCAGCTTGAAGCGGTCAGCATTGAAACGAGGAGGGTCTTTGCTCTTGTCGCTGTAAGCAGCACGGCTTTTCGGTGCTACGGACTGGTACGCGCCCGCGCCATCCGTCAAAAGCGTGAAATTGCCAGGCACGAGAACCCAAGAGAGGATCTCGTCGCACTCGGGCCCACTGAGTGAAACGCCGCTTCCCCCAGCGGCGCAGGTCCGCTGGGGCAGCTCGAAAAACATCGCCAGTTGGCGCTGTCCCCGAGGACACACGCACATGAATCGGTGATGTAATATGCGGTAACGCCCAAAAGGGTGCTCGCCGCACGTCGTATCACAACAATCTCGCGGGCAAGTCACGCGGCAAGCGCGCATTGACGCCTCGTCGGCCTCAACGAGGCACCCGCGAGGCCACACAAAGTCGTCCTGCTCAGCCTTGGCAACGCGGGCGCAGATGGACCGCACGACACTAGTGATGCGCTGGGCTGCATTCTTCGATATCCCCACCTGCACAGCCATTTCGTCCGACGACTCGTAGCCCGAGGCATGCTGGGTTGCTGCATGGGCGATGGCGAGGAGGGTGCGGGTGGTGTTCACGGAGCCCTTGTTGAACAACTCCTTCAGAGGGCCCTTCGGGTCGAGGTTCGACTCGCGCCTCTTGATGGGCGAACAACGCACGCCCATGCCCGTACAACGCGCACCCATGGGCTCCCCCTCCCCACCCTCCGTCTATCCCGTGGGTATGGGCGTGCTTTGTTCGCTCATCGCCTCTGGCAATCCCAATTGGAACAGCGCCAAATCGGATAATCCATTTGAGGTATGCTGAAGCCCGCCACCTGGATGTCCTTGTCCGACTGGCCGCCCCGAAGCTTCAACTCCATTGTGCCGCACTGGCACGCCGTGCACTCGCCCCCCAGATCTGGTAGCACCCCGATCTCTATCATGATACGCGCGAGGAGCTCGGGACTGATGCGCGCCATGTCGACCACGGCGATCCTCTTGGATATAGGTAGCGCGGCGAGAGAAGGGCGATCAGCTTGTTTCTGATTCGGAGGAATGTAGGATGGACCAGGAGCCTCTTTTTTAGTTGCCGCCCTACCCTTCTTCATCATCGACTTCTTGCTGATGCGGCTCCCCTTCGTCAACGACACCCTGCGAATGCCAGACAACTTCTTAGAATGGAGAGTCGCGCAAGCGGGCTTCCGTTTCAACGAAGCCTGCTGCACGCGGTGCGCACGCTTGTGCTTGTCCGCCTGGGAGGCCTTGCCACCATGAGGCATGATTGACGAGGCGAACGGCAATGGGAGTGGCGAGGCTGCAATCCAAAGCCAAAGTTTGAACCAAAGTGCTACGGACCGAACACCATGATCGGCAAACACATGGACTACAATTGCGACCGCGCGCAGTCGCAACTTTGACCGCGGCAAAAGTAAACAAGCGTTGTTGGCCTTTTTTCAGTAGAGCATGGCCATCGCAACGCCCTGCCCCGTTCACAGGCGCTGCCCCCCGTCCCCGATATGCACAAATTAGGTCTCGTGTGTCCCCGACGGCGCCTGCACGGTTGCGCCTCGCTGGGGGCGAGGGTCGGGGAATCATCATGCGCACTGCTGCATCGTGCGCATCGCCATCACGGCGGAGGCGGCGAAGGCGCAGCGCTGGCGCCGCCTACTGCCTACTCAGGCACCCCGAACCTGCCACCAATTGCATTCCTCGGCACGCACGCCCTCAGGCATGATATGCCACGAGACGTGGCCCGTGTGGCAGGCGCGCACATCACCGTCGAACACGATGAATCCTCCGAGGAAGACGAGAACGGCCACGGCGTGCCCCGTCACCCCAGGCGCAGAGCCGTACGTTGCGATGTAGCGGCCTGTGGGCACGGCGCAAGCTCCGCGGATGGACGCACGGGCGATCACGCACCCGTCTCCAGCGATCATGGCCTCGGCATCGTTGATGCTGAACGGCCCATCCTGGGTGTACGGAACGTTGAATCCGAGGGCGTTCAGGGCGTCGACCATGCAACAGTTCTTGAAACCTGCACCGAAGAGGCCGTCGCCCGTGCCATGGGGCGCCTCTTCGTCGCTGTCATCGATGATCAGCGGCGGGCCGCCCGAGGGCGCCAGTTTGGCGAAGACGCCTGGCTCCAACTTGACGGGGCGAAGATTACCGCTGTCCGAGGCCGCCCCTGGTCGCGCGGGGGCGGGCATGCCCGCCTCCGCTTCCGCTTGCTCTGACATGATCCCCAACGCTGCCGCGGCCTCCTCGTCGGCATCGGCGGCATCGAACACGGCGCGCGCGCGCCGCGCCGATGGTGAGTCCTCGCTGGAAGCGCCGTCCAGGTCGATGTCTCGAGGACAAGACGCAAAAAGCTTATTGAAGCTCTTCGCGGCCTTCTTGGGTGGGCTCAAGAGGTCGATGCTCTCGCGGTCGTGCGCCCTCGCCAAACCGCCCAGGTACTTGGCCATCTCGCGGTCCCTGTCGACCTTGTCCTGTGAGTCCACTGGGCAGCCGCCGCGCGGAAGGGCCGCGCGCGGCGGCGCATCTGTGCTCTCGCCCATCAGAGGGGGAGGGGCCGCGCGCGTCGGCGCCTCCGCTCCCTCGCCCATCGGAGGGTAGAAGAAGCGGTCTGGCGCCTGGGCGTCGAACAGCGTAGGGCCTCGCACTGTGACGGCTGGCTGCACTGCCTCGCCTCTTGCAAGCCTCCGCATGAATGCCTGGCCCCACTTGAAGTCGATCTCGAAGTTAGGCGGCTTGTACGTCTGGTCCTTCTTGTACTTCTTCATGGTGTCTCTGCTTTCGGGCACGAACAGGTCGGGCTGGGCTGGGTTCGGCCAGGCAAAAAACGGCACCGACTCCTTGTCCGTGGAAGCCAGGCGGAAGTAAATGCGCTTGTCCGACAGGAGGACAACGTGGCTCCTCGCGAGGTACGCCTCCGCGTCTGCCATCTCGAACGACCCCCGCGCGTCGCGGGGAAAGTTCGCCTGGATAATGCGGACGAAATCGTCAAAGGAGATTGCCTCGGCTCCAGGCCGAACGGGCTGGACGCGGGCCTCAAAATCCTTGTCGTAGGCGTTCACGCAGGATTGCCGCGCCTGGTTCATCATGAACTGCGCGCCGCCCCATCGAGCCCAGAGCAAGGCGTCCTCTTCGGCCGGGTCGTGGAACGCCTTGACGTCGTCTGTGCCCCACTTCGACATCACCGTGTCGTCGGCAATCGCGGGCTTGAAGAGGCTCCCTGGCTCGAGGCGAAAGAAATCAATCCTCTTGGAGGTGACGACGCTCGGCTTCAGGTCAGAGCGGCCGTGCTTGTCGATCTGGTAAGCCGAGATGGCGAAGCAGGTCGTCTTAGAAGCGGACGACTTCCCGACGCGAGTCTTCCCGATCCACATGATCGAATGTACATCGTGAGTGCGCAGTGCGGGGGCAATGATGTTGTTCAGGATCGTCGGATGGAACTGCCTCAA